ATCTAAGTCTTGGTGACTGAAGGTGAGGAAACAGTAGGAATCCACTTGGAAGTAAACTTGGCTAGGCCTAAGGATGGAGTCATAGTGTATGGAATGGCAATGAGGAAAAATGGGAAGGCATGTTTCCATACCTTCCAGCTGAAGAATAGAAATAATGATCCTGGGCCCTAGAAACCAATAGGGAATACTGTGAGAATAAATTAGATCCAGTTTTCCTTTGGAGGAAAGGCACTATATAATTTATGATATTGTTATTATAATCATTAGTCATCTTTGCCTAGATTTATGGAGTGACTCATCCTAAATTAAGCCTTTGGAACAATAAGAAGAGGGAAATTTATGAGACCTACAGTGATTTTCTAGTCTCATAAAAGATTGTAGTACTTGATTCTTAAGATGCTGAAATATCTCTCCCTCTTAAGAGAAAGCTACAGGGAGCATCCTTTGATTCATTATTTGATATGTCTTTCAGGTCTCCACCCTCTTGCTCTCTGGGACTAATAATTCAGCAAGCATTTTAACAGTCACCTTGGCTGTCAATAAATTATTTTAACTTACCTTTAGAGGGTCTATTTCTCTCCTCTCCCTCTGAGAATAACAAATGTTACTTTTTAATCTTTTAATTTTTCTGTACATTCACTTGATAATTTTTGAGCACCGATAACCTGCAAAGCAATAAGCTAGATGTAGAGAGATAAGGGGAATAAGATCCTGTCCATCCCTCAAAGGGCTTGCAGTCTAGTTGGGAGATGTAAGAGGACCAGATCTGAAGGCCATTTAAAGAAGACTGACTGGATAAACAGTGTGAAAGAGAAGGCTGAGTACAAGATTTTCCCTCCTGACAGAATGGAGAGAGAATGATCTCGCCAAGCAGATCGGGAGCAGATCTGGAGAAAGGCCATGAGCTCTGTTTTAGGCATGCTGGGCTGAGGATGAACAGGAAGTCCAGGAAGAAGCTTGATTCATGGATCTGGACCAAGGGAAAGAAGCAAGACTGGAAATAGATGTGGATTTCATCCAAAAAGAAATCCTGGGAATGGGTGAGATACTCGGTGAGAGAATATTTTTTAAAAAAGAAGGGAAGACAAGGGAGTCTGATGGTTACAAACAAAAGGAGGAAAAAGACAACTAATTTGGGGAAGAGATAAACAGGATCAGAAGGGCTAACAAAGAGAAAATAAAGGAGGGAAAGAGAAACAGCAGAGAGACACCGGAGGAAGAAGAACCGCCATGAAGAGCATAGACTGGAAGACTCACCTTTAGAAAACAGCCTCCTTCCCTCTCTCTAAGTAGGAGGAGGTGAAGGGCAGACAAGGACAGATGTATTTTGAAGTAGATATAGGAGATTTTAAAAAGGGAGAAATTGTTGATTGGAAAATGAAAAGTCGGAGGAGGCTGTGATGCTCAGAGAAAACATCAACACGTAGAGAAAGCAGGGTGGACTTGGGAACTGACCAGACATAGACTCAAATTTCTTTCCTAACATATCACTGATTCCAGGAGCAAGCACCTTCTCTGAATAGAGTCTCAGTTTTGTCTACTGAGCAAATGACGAATAACAAAGACATATTTCGTAGGGTGGTTTTGAGGATTAAGAAAGAGCACATGTGTCAAGCCTGGGGCTTTGGGGTGGGCTTCGTTGGGGATAGAAGGGGCTAGGACAGGCTAGGGCTTCTCACAGGTGAATGGACAGCGGAAGCACCCATGTCAGAACCCTCAAAACACAGATTTCTAAGCCTCACCCGGAATCAGCTTCTTGTTCGGTAGGTCTGGGGTGGGACTTGAAAATCTGCACTCTTAATAAGCTCCAGTGTTCTTGCCTGGAGAATCCCATGGACAGAGGAGCCTGGCAGGCTAAATCCACAGGGTCCCAAGAGCTGGACACGACTAAGCAACTAAACCACCACCACCAATAAGATCCCAGATGCAGCTGGTCTGGGAGCTATACTTCAAGGACTACTGAGGCAGAGAAATCCTTTGAGAGAAAAGATCAAAAGGCAAAGCGAGTTTGATGGCACCAGAACACAGAGTCCAGAAGAAGAGGATCACATCTCTTTTGAGCCTTCATTATCCATTAACGCACTTCATCGTCTTATCTCCAGAACCTTGGCCAGCTCTCTCAGAAACAAGCACTCTCTCTTATCCCAGAATTCCAAGAACAGGAGCAGGAACTCATCCAACTGAGTGGCTGGCCTGGTGGATGCAGAGAGAAGGGGTAACTCTGAGTTGCCTGAGAAGACCGAGCTAGGAAAGTCTAGCAGATCTCAGCGTTTCTGCCAAGGGGCTTTGAATGGGGGCCGTCAGGAAGGTAGCGATACTTTAGGAGCCAGGTTGACGTAACATGGCTTTTTTTAAAAAAGTGGGAACTGTCAAAGTTTATATATTATTTTAATTTTGCTCTGTCTTTTCAATTTTGCATGGCCCAAGTGTTTAATATTTCACGTGCTTCTTTTTTCATCTTAAATTACTTTTTATTTTTCTTATTATTTTCCCCAGCCAAGTACCTTTATTGCTAAAAAGGGTAGTTTATAACCCTTTGCCATGGATCAGATTATCTTTGAACACTCTTTTCCCTTTTTGGCTCTTAATTCTTTCCCATTGTATTATTCAGTTATTCCATTCTATTGCATCCATTATTCACTACTTTTTTTTTTCAAAAATTGATTCTGCAGAAATTGAACACCCTCATTTTTCATTTCTCTTGGAGTTACTTTGTAGAAACCCAACTAGATTATAGCTTCTAATGCATTGATGGTCCGCCGAGTGCACATCGCCCAGCATGTTTATAAGTTCTGAGTAAGGAGACAAGTCAAATCCTATTCCTTTTCAAGATTCTCCTTTCATATATCATTTAAGAAAATTGCTCAACCATCTAGCTGGCTTGTACGCAGTCCCTGACTCATTTCCTCACTATTGAATGCTCCACCGTCCTTCCCACAGTTATATTTTCATAAGGGAAAAGGAAAGATAACCTGTCATGCAGTTGCAGGATCACGGAGGCTGCACTCTGCAAATGGGCTCTGGGGACATCCAGGGCAAGACGAGGAAGCTGGTCAGTACGTAGGCATCAACCCCTTCCTCCTCTCTGCATCCAGAACCAACACCTCACCTGTGATCGTTCTCATCAACAAATTTTTGAAATTATTCTCAGCTCCCTTAAAGATATGGTGCTTAGTCTCTTGCTCTGTGCATGGCAAACACCCAAAACCATGAACAGATGAATGACAATGACAAATGAATGTAACACAGACCCAACACAGCCGGCTCCCGTCTCCTTGCTCAGCTACCGTCTTCCTGTTACCCACTTTTCTGAGGCTATGTTATTCAGAAACTCTCACAGTTCCCTAAATGGGCCATGCTCATTCACACCTCCAGGCTGCCGTATGGGTCCCTTCCTTTTCACCTGCTTCCTTTAGCTAATGTGGCATCCCTCTTTCTCCAGGAAATCACCCCTGAACCCCTGCCTGGGTTGGGTGGCCCTCCGATGTGTACTGAAAACCTCTCCATTTCTTGGCACTAAAATAATACTTCCCTTATCAGCTTGTTTGTTCTGCTCCTTAACTAGACTAAGGGCAACTTAAAAGCAGGGACTGTGTCTCATGCATCATTACAATCCCAACTCTTACATGGATGCTTAAATGATGCTGTTTGGGGTGAAAGGAAACGCTAGTGCCCAGGTGAAAGACATGGGACATGTTAGTGTGGACAGTTGCCATGGGTGTGGAGAGGAGTAGAAAGCTGTGGTGTGCAGCAAAAAGAGGACCTTTCAGATGGGACAGCTCATTGCAGGCCAGTGGGAGGGGAAAAGTACAACATGGCAGCTGGGGGCTGAGAATGCCCGCCCATCTGCCAGAAAAGCTTTCAGGGGCTTGTTACTTTATCAGAGACAGAGGGATTGAATTTCCTTAAGAGAACAATCGCAGCTCCACACCCTACAGCCTCTTTACTAGCATTTCCATCAGGGAAAAGCATTCCTTGCTGCAACAAGACAACAAAGTAGCTAACGCATTTTAAAAGATTCCAAATAATTGGAATCACTCTACAGATAGTTTAAAAAAAAAAAATCGCAGCAGCCAAAAGGAAGGCTATGTGATGCTGTTCCCCATGAAGTCATTTCCTGACTTGCTCTTTGATTTCCCTTACCTCCTCTTCTTCAAGCCGCAGCCCAAGACAGGGACTCCTTTCCAGGCTTCTTTCCAGCTGTTTTAGCAGGTGAATTCACACCTGTTAAAACACTGGTGTAACATTTTCTTAAGCCTTCTAAGAACAACAGTGTCTCAGTTCTTGAAATTTCAAGATCTAATTTCCCCTTTTGGGGGAGTCATTAATCCCTCCCTCCATCTCCGGCTTATCCTCTCCGGCCTCTCCCTTTTCATATTTGTTCCTGCTCCGAGGCTCTCTGCAGGGCAGGAACCTGACTGGTAAGGTAACTCCTCCTCCCCTGCAAACCTGCCCCTTCCCGCTGTCTTGGGGAGAGAGGCTCCCGACTTAACAAGTCTCCTTAACTCCAACAAATCCAATGTGGGCTGGAAGAATTGAAAATCCATGCTCTCTCGTGATCCTTCTTTCTCTGCCCCGGTGCTGACCCTACCTTTCCTTCCCCATCTGTCATCCTATCCACCTCCCGCAGCTGACACACCCTCCTCTTAATTCTTGGAGCACCTGTTTTCTGTAACAGAAAATAAGTGCCTGTCACCTACATTTCCCCCTGCGAGCTCCTGGTAGCCAGCCTAGGCGTCCCCTCAGCAGTGTCCTGGAGCAGAGAGGACTCTTTCCACCAGCCACTGCCTGTCACATTTGATGGACTGGCTGTGTTTCAAGCAGTGGCTTTGCTCCCCTTTGGAATAAGCCTTTGGTGATGTTTCTGAGAATCGTCCGCAAGAAACAGAAGTTAGTCCCGCACGTGGCAGCTGCTTCCCACGCTGCAGTTGTGACTTCACCTCTGTTCCGCCCGGCAGAGCCGGGTGCTCTGTGTTCACTCCTCTCTCTGCGTGAGACAGCCCGTTACTCTTCACGGAAGAAGCCTTCCGGCCCTCCCAGGCGCCCAGCACATGCAGAACCGGGAGCACACGGACCGGCAAGGGTTGGGTCTCCCGCCCATTCACCCCGCATGCCTCAGGGCACGCTCCCCAGGGGCGATGCGAGCCCCGGGCTGAGCCGCGCGAGGGGAGAAGGCGCGGGGTGAGGACCGCCGACTCCGCGCTGGAGGCGGCGCAGGTGCGGAGGCCGCGCGTCTGCGAAGGTGACTGCCTCCTCTCGAGCGCTGCCGGACGACTTCAGCACTTTCTGGGCCGTGCAAACTGCCGAGAAAGAACACTGTCAGCAGCGTCATTTCTAACGAGGGAGAAACAGTAGATGAGGCGGGGGGCGGGGGGGAGAAGAGAGAGAGAGAAAACCCAGCCACCCCGGCTGTACCTTGATCATCCTGGCGGGAGTCTTTGCCCTTTCTCTCTCCTCCTGACCCCCCTGCCAGGAACTCGGCCCGAGAGCCCCTGTTAGTGGCACTGTCTGACCTTGGAGGTCAGGGCTAGAAAACGTAGAAACCAGGGTATTGCGGAGCCCTAGGAATCTAGAGAGACGCTTCTGCACAACCGCATCAGTTCCTGACTGCCTTCTTTTATCTTGTCCAGACTTGTCATATTCTGTGTGTGTGTGTGTAAACGCACGACAGCCATTTACTCATTTATCCAGAGAGAGTCTTGTATCATATTCAGTTTCCTTTTCTATTCAGCTAATTTATGGTTTTATTTTTTTTTCCATTTATTTTTATTAGTTGGAGGCTAATTACTTTACATCATTGTAGTGGTTTTTGTCATACATTGAAATGAATTAGCCATGGATTTACATGTATTCCCCATCCCAGTCCCCCTCACCTCCCTCTCCACCCGATCCCTCTGGGTCTTCCCAGTGCACCAGGCCCGAGCACTTGTCTCATGCATCCAACCTGGGCTGGTGATCTGTTTCACCCAAGGTATCTTGGTTACAGAGATTTTCTAGCCTTTGTGAATGCTTTGAGTTGAACTCAAAAAAGAACTTTACTTCTTTATTAAAACTGATAAACTTGTAAGGTTATAAGACTATACATACATATATATATATACACACACACACACAGATATATATATACACACACACACAGAAACATACATACTTACACACATACACACACATTGGCAACATACATCTTGGCACACAAATATTGCAACATATATTGGCATGTGGCATGTGGCAAATAATAAAGCAAAATGCATTCCATCGTGTAGCTGCTCCTGGAAGCCCTTCCCCTGTTAAACACTTCTATGCCGAACTTCGTCATGGAACACCCTTCTCCTTGCCCATCTTCATAGGAATTTGGCTCTCACATGAGGCCACCCCAACCCTGCTGCCTTTTCAGATAAGGATGTTCACTCTCCTACATTACACATGCCTTACAGTGCGTCAGGAAGTGGGCTTCAAATCCTCCTTCTTCCCCAGCTGTCCTTCACTCTGTCAGCAAAACAATTCCGAGTTAATGGCACTTCAAGACATATTTGCCGCTTGTGTTTCTGCTTATGTTGGAGTAGAATGGTAACCGCCCCCCTCCACCATAGTTCTCATTGCCTAACAACTCTGAGTTATTCCAGTTCTTAGATTTATGACCTTTGTTTTTCTTCCCCAAACATATTATTCCATTCTTGATCTTATAGTACCATTGTGTTTATTCTAGTAACCAATCATGCCCCCCTTTTTAGAAAAAAAATAAATTCACGTTCATTGTCTATGCAAAGGCAGTTGTGTGTTTCCTGTATGCAGCTTTCTGATTGCTATTTGAATACAGTCACAAAGAAATTGGATTTTTTGTGCATGCCTGATTCCCTTTCATGCATGCTTTTGTCAAATTTTGACACAGTAAATACAGACCTCCTCCATGTGGACCCCAATTGATTAATTAAAGGGGAGATTCATTGCAAAATTGCCAGCAGCTGTAGGCTAGAATGGAGGCTGGGGAGTCATACACCAAAAAGGCTAGCAGTGGAACAGAACCACGTCTAGAGATGTGTCTGAATTTGGTGGAAAGTGAGTTCTACTTCCCAAACTGAGCCTTTTTTCATTCTAGGAAGAATTTGCTTTCCATTGAAAAACAGGCAACTCACATGAAATATTTTTTTCTTATTTTTTTAATTGAAGTATAGTTGATTTACAATGTTGGGTTAATTTCTGGTGTTCAGCAAAGTAGTTTTCATATTCTTTTTCATTTACTTTTCATATATTTCATATACTTTTTCATATTCTTTTCCATTGTGGCTCATAACACAATATTGAATATAGTTCCCTGTGCTATATAGTAGGACCTAGTTTTTTTTATTTTATATGTAGTAGTTTGTATCTGCTAGTCCCAAATTTGTGATTTATCACTTCCACACTGCCTTCCCCATTTGGCAATCATAAATTTGTTTTCTATGCTTGTGAGTCTGGTTCTGTTTGTAAATAAGTTCCTTTGTATCTTTTTCCTTCTCTCTCTCTCTCTCTCTCCCTTTCTCTAGACAAAGGATACCAAAATGTGTGGCAAGACACATTGTTCAATAGCAGGACATTTCGTCAGCATCACAAAGCACGCCCAAGAAAAACAATTCATTTGGTGCAAGACCAAGATCACTGAGGGGAAGAAAGCAAAGGCAACTTCCATTTGCAAACTCTCTGAGTTAGGCAATACCATATTCTGAGTTCTGCAATCAATCTGGAATATGCATGGTCATGTGGAGTTTCAGATGCATCCAGAAGGGTAGATAAAAGAAGCTTCCAATGAATAGCAATAGAGAAGGATGTCAAGAGTAAGGATTGAATCCATAGGCATAATCAGTTATTGTGCAGAGGCAGAAGGGGAAGAAATCAGCAGTGGAGGGGAGTCACACAAAAGACAGGGTTCAGGAGTATAATGTCTCCCATAAGTCATGGCAGTGGCAATTCCTCAAGGTCCTTCCTGAGCCTCCCACAAAAGCTAAAATTGACGTTTTCTCCATCTGTACTCTACCTCTCCGGGAGCTCATAAATCTGGGCTCTGACCTAACCATGACGGAGGACTCGGCTGGGAGAACAGGTTATCTCCCGGGCTGCTGCACACAGCACCAGGGGCCACCTGTGAGTCACAGCCTGTGGGAGGTTGGGGAACATCTGGTCAAGTTCATCTCCTGCCGCCACCACTGAGCTGGCCTCTGCTCCTTCTGTCTGTTTGAAATGTACCTCTCTCTCCAACACAGCATCTTGGGAACATCAGGATGTTGCATAACGAACTGAGCGGAATCCAAGAACCAAGCCACACATGTAGAACTATGAGAAGCCACATGTGCAAGAGAAAAACAGTCTCAGCTTTAGCATTGCTTTGTTTCTTAAAGCAGTTAATGTGTTGGAGGCCACACTGACTATTTGATACAGACTGAGAAGGGGTATGGGTATGTTGTGATTGTGAACATCTGCACCAAAGGGACTTGAGGTGTGTTTTCAAAGTAACCTTCATAGCTATCATTCACTGAGTGCCTACAAAGGTCAGACACCATATAGACATTATCCCTGATTATCCAATATGGCCACGAAGTGGTTATTATTGTGCTCATTCTTTTCTAATTAGAAAACTAACCACTGAGATAATAAATGACTCACCAAGGTTTCATGACTGGTAAAGGGTAAAGGCAGTTTGGGGAAAGTGGTTTCTTTTGTCTCAAGGCCTACAGTCCTCCCACTCTTTAAACTTTCTCCCCCAATCCATCTAGAAAGGTACAAAGTGACGAGTGCTGACTCCTTATGTTTGTTCAACTCCATTAAGTAGACAGAGTATAGCCAGAGGCCATGTCAAGGATTGTATACGTACAGAAAGAGAGCGAGGAGTGTGTGTGTGCAAAAAGAGAGAGAGAAAGATAGTAGACAGCAGGCTCAGATATGTACAGAGAATTTCCAGCTAAAGTTGACTAGCATCTCCAAAGCTAATGATGGGGTGGCATGCTCAGTGATTTCCGACTCTTCACGACCCCATGGACTGCAGCCCGCCAGGCTCCTCTGTCCATGGAACTTTTCAGGCAAGAATACATTTCCTGTTTCAGGGGATCTTCATGATTCTCTTGCATCTCCTGCATTGGCAGGTGGGTTCTTTAACACTGCACCACCTGGGAATCCCAAGCTAATGATGGGGAAAGTCAAGTCAGAATATGCCCATTCTTTCAAAGAAAGACTGTATTATTAAAAAATGTTCAGAATTACTAGGGTCAATGGTCCAAGCAAGCCAGAGACATTGATAGGATTCCTTTTCTTCATGAAGTTCATTGATCTTCAACCACAGGGATAGTAATTCACCAAATCTTTACCAGCAGCATCTGCTGCCCAAAAATTACCTCAGTTACTCTTCTGGAGTCTACTAAATCTTATAAGGAGTGGAATAGCAATAGTATTATCAACTTAAATCCAGATCACAGCAGTACCTGTCTACAGGGTCTTTCCTGTTGGCCTTCCTTTTCTTCTTCTTCACCTGTTCCAACCCTCACAAGCTCAGAAACCAGAGCTGGCAGGATCAGGGAGAATAAATGAGTGTGCAGTGGAAATTAAAAAAGAGCCAGTCAAAACCCTTGCCTGCCATAAGCTTTGGCCTCCAGTTTGAAAGAGACCCAGGCTCTGGTTCCACATTTTGGGAGGAAAGACGTTAACGCTGAATAAAGGTCAGAGCTTTTTATTGCTATAAAATTAGATTTGATATATTATGAAACCTGAGGTCCATGGTTCCTTAAAAAAAAGCAAACAACATTTTATTTACACATTTTTGTGTGTCTTTTTCTGGAGAAAGAATCCACTTTTATCAGGGTCACAGAAAAGTTTCAAATTATTCCCAAATCAGAGAACTTCTGGAATCTCAGAGCAATCTTAGACTTTGACTTTAGATCTTGTTTGTTTCCCATCCAGAGCAGCACTGGTCAGTATCCAGCTGATTCTCTTTTAAAGTGGACCTTGGGAGATGGGACGCAGACCAACCTATTCTCCAAAAAGCCCTTTTGACATGGTTTCTGGACACATACGGTTTAGATCTGGAGAAGACAGAAATTAGCTTTGAAATTTAGAATGTAGTTTTCTAGGCTATAGAAACATATCTTTTAATAACCCAATGAGGTTACCTCTGTTGCAACTACATTTTAAATTTGTTCAGTGAATTATAACATACATGGCTTTTGAACCTGTGTTTTGACATAAAATGCATGTAACCCAAGTGGTCTGCCTCCCTAA